TATGCCGTTATCATTATTTAAGCCAAATCACATTTCATACCTTTGCGAGATTAGACTGCGATAGTGTGAGACATAGAGTATTACTCTATGGTGTGAGACTACAAATACAGGCGTCTCGCGACAAGATAATTTCCGATACCAAATTCTTATCAAACCTTGTTATCACTCTACCAAAATGGACGTGGTCTACCGTAATAATATTAAAGTAATAAAGTACAATATAAGTTTAATTTAAAGTATATATTTTTTATTACCCTGTGACCCACTTGGGGAGGTGTTGCACAGCAAGTCGGGGGATATTTTCGACTTGCGGAGCGGGGCGACGGCGCCGAGGAGCGTAGCGACGAGTGCCGCTAGCACCGCATCACTGTACGATGTTTTTTCAAATTGGTGGCTCGGTGCAACAAAAATGCAATTGATTGAAAAAACATCGTACAGTGATGCAGTGCTAGCGGCACTCGTCGCTACGCTCCTCGGCGCCGTCGCTCCGCTCCGCAAATCGAAAATATCCCCCGACTTGCTGTGCAACACCTCCCCAAGTGGGTCACAGGGTTGAGAAAATTGAATTTTTGTTGCATTAATAAATATAAATCCCAGCTATATAGGTAGAACACATAGGTAACATTGATAGACCGCATACTATACTCATGTTTATAGTTACGTAGCACACAAAACGGAGGTAGACCGCATATTGGGAGATAGCCCACGCTCTTATATACCGTGCTAGTATACTATATAATAGCACAGAACAATAATAGTCTATTTAGTTTTATATACCGTGCTACCTAGTATAAATTATAAGTCTTTTTGACTACTACACCTTGAGGTATTGCAAATGGTTAATCTGCTAAGTGATAACAAGCTTTGATAAGAATTTGGTATCGGAAATTATCTTGTCGCGAGACGCCTATCTACAAATACATTGAAGTCTAATCTAATCTAATCTCGCAAAGGTATGAAATGTGATTTGGCTTAAATAATGATAACGGCATATCGAGGAGCCACCGTGACACGATTTAAAATTACGCAGCCCGGAGCGCCAAATACTGATACTAGATAGCATGCACCACGCACCAAGTTATGTTCGGGAACATCTTCGTAATAATTACAAACTTTAAGTAATTGTTATACACTAATTGCAATGACAACATGAAGCGCACCAACAACAATAGACGTCAACGCAAACGCACACCCTCAGCGATATTAGGTACAGTCAAAATCACCAAAACGTAGACACCTATAGCCATCATTTCTGTTCACGGTGGCAACTGAGATAGTCGGTAAATAGGCCACTCATACTAATCAAATAATTTCTATAATACATTGTTTGTAATTTGTAATAATAAAAATATATAAAACAAATCAGTTTTTCAACAAATTTATATGTTGGTTTTTGTATTTCGGATTATTGGGACAACCGCTTTATTGGGACAAAATAACACCCAACCGATGTGTCCCAATAAAGCGGAATCGACTGTATATATTTTTAAATCTATAAAACAAGTCAATTATATACTATAGATTATAGGTGTCATACCCATTGAACCATTGTTGATGAATGAAGTTTCCAATGTCAATACTTCATCAAGAACTGATGTTTCCAATACATTGAAACCAGACATAACACTGTCATAAAGATTCATATGATCAACTAGTATAAGTAGAATAAATATTATAAAAGCATATTATGTTGAATAAGCAAGCATAAGTCAAGTTTACCAGACAAAGTTTCATTATTTAATATGGCATGTGTTTTTGCTGGTGTACTATAAACAGTATTTTCAACCGTTCCATATCCTGACATTTCTGAATCGCTCTGATGTATGGATCTTGAAGATTCAACACTAGGTTGACTTAGTTCTGAATTAGTACCACCCAGATACGTGCCTGCTACAAACAACAATAAATTATGCCATATTTCTTACAATACTTAAAAATATCAATATTTGTAGGTAGGTAGGTACCTGGTAACAGTAATGTTGGACAAGAGTTCGCATTCAGTCTCTTAGTACCAGGACTAAAACACTGTTCATCAAAATGATTATTACATATAAATTTCTTTATATAAACATCGTTTGGATCCATTTCATTCAAACCAACCAAATCAATCCATTTTTTTAATCGAACCAAGTCCGTTCTGGGATTGGGAAATCGATGAACAACAATACCTAATATAATACATGTAATGTATGTTCATTATAGAAATTAGGTTATTTTGGGTTATAAATAATAATATTGTTTATAAATTCCATTTGACAATAAATATTATAGATAAGTATAATATCTACAAAATGTCAATTTTAAATCTTACATTCACACATTTTAAAGATAACTTATTTTTTTCATATACAATAAATGAAAATGGAAATACCCAGTCTTCTGTAATAATACCATAAGGAATAACTCCATTTAAAAAGCATGTTGAATAAAACATTTAAATTTTAAAGATATAAGATAATAATATAGAATGCTTGTTGAGTTGTATAACTTTTTATGAAATTATAAAATACTTACCTCTGGATTGACAGCCATATATTACGCACTTTGAAGCATTTTTAGAAAGCATCATAAAATATTATATAACAGATGTCCAATATAAGTATATAACAGTAAACAGTATATATCAATGACCAGTACCTACTCGCAAGTCACAAATCACAATACGAAATACTGTCCGGTTGGTTAATACGAATACGAAAAACGAAATACGCACAATACGAAATAAGTACAAGACGAAATACACAGTAACACGAATGTCGGAGTCGGAATTTGTCGGATAAATCACGCGAAAAAAAACCGTTGCTGTCCGTCGGCGAGCGGCATAGATAAGAATAATTAATATGGCGAGTGGAGACCGGTGTTCTGCCACGACATGCAGCGCTAATGGTGGTTGTACGATACAACTATACGGTACAAAACGATCCAATGGAGTTGCACTAGCTTGGTGGTGATTTGACATTAATTAAAAAACGTATAACAGGGAAAGATATTTGGAGAATATAGTTTTTTGACTCACGATGCTCCTGGACTCTATCTTCCTGTGTACAGCTGGGCAGTGGTTGATACAACGGTCGTCGGTAATGATTCTGATATTCGGACGGTCGATCGGCGGAGGTAGGTATGCTCGACGATCGACGATTGATAATTAGTTATTGTGATACGGCGGCGTGCGTGCGTGTGCGTGTGTACGACGTTCGTAAATTGTTTTCTGGCGGCGAGTATATATATATGGGTCGGACGGCAGCTACGGCTCGTTCTCGATGTCGATATATTTTACGGGCGGCAAGTAGGTACTTTAGTTCGCGTCGTTCGCGATGTTTATTCTCAGCGGCGAAATGGTATTGGACGGCGGCGTATGCTCGGCGTTCTCAATATTCTTTTTAAATGGCACGGCAGAGGGAAACACCGTATAACAGACGTGCAGCGGCGGCGTGAAAATGCAGCGGCGGCGTGAAAATGCAGCGGCGGCGTTAAAACTACGGCAGCGGGTCGATCGTACCGGCTCGTTTGACCTGGCTTTTAGGCCATATCCGAGCACGGTAGATGAAAACAACGAACGGACTTGCAACGGCGGCAGCGTTAAACTACGGCGGCGGCGTTAAACTGCGGCGGCGGCGGGTTGATCGTACCGGCTCGTTTGACCTGGATTTTTAGGCCATATCCGAGCACGGTAGATGAAAACAAAAAAAACGAACGGAACGGTAACGACGACGATATTCTTACTCAACTGTTTGACCTGGGTTTTACTCCATATCCAGTTGGTAAGAATATCGTAGTATATCGAGTGGATGTGAGTATGAGTATGCTGTTCGTATGAGTTCTTACTAGAGTCCGTCACGATTGTTGAACTATTGATCTATTAATATACTCGATAGAAATGTCCCAATTATCCGGATTCGTGGCCCAAATAAGCGGTGAATGTTTACCCTACAAGTATACATTTGTTTTTGTAATTGAAGAATTGTCCCTATTAAGCGGTTGTCCTTATTAACCGGTGTCTCTATTAAGCGGAATCGACTGTATTAATATTAAGTGCACAGCTATATTAATAATGCTTTATATAGATGATAGCGATGCTTTAATTAGTAATTCACGAGGTAATTCTGCTTATGCTAATGCTGTTAATTCCGGAAATGCTAAAAAGTTGAATGTTAAGCATGCTATACCAACTGCAAGAAAACCGAAAACTGGAACTGGTGCTTATGATTTTTATTTATTCTTGTTTTCAGATTTAATAGAAAATATTAAAAAATTGATTTTGATTTCAATTTGCTTGTAGATTGAGTTTTTTTTTACAATTGAGTATTTATCTAAATTTTGGTTTTTATTCTAGATGTTTTGAAACAAATTGGTGTTGCCAATTGCAGACGTTTGACACCAAATTGTAAAAAATTGTATAAAGTTACAAATCTGCTCCTTAAACAAAGTCGACGTAATGCGAACCGAAATAATTTATTTAAAACAAGACTTAGAGATGCTGAAAAGTTCGCTGATAAATATTTAGTTTCACGGCTGTCACAAAAAACTACTTCTGCTGCTTCATTGTTCATGCAACTTCAAGTTAGAGAGACCAAAAAGTTTAGCAGAGGACGTAGATTCAATTTGGATGAAAAAATGTTAAGTTTATCTTTGTATAAACGTTCACCCAAATGTTATCGAATGTTGGCAAAACTTTTTACCTTGCCAAGTAAACGGACATTGAATAACATTCTATCTAGTGTTAGAATATCACCTGGAATATGTCCATTGATGATGAAAAGATGATTAAGGATAATGTTCAAAAGCTCAAGCCATCAGAAAAATAAAAAGCTAAATTGATTATAGATTTTATTTTATTTATTTCACTTACAAATATTTGTTTCAGGTATTGTTCAATTTTGTTTGACGAGGTGTGTTTGTCAAGTGGTTTGACCTATAACACAGTTACCGATGAAATTGATGGGTTTGTGAATACAGGACATAGTAAAAATTAAAATATTGCTGATCACGCATTAGTCTTCATGGTACGAGGAATAAAAAAGAAATTCAAACAGCCAATTATGTACACATTTTGCAAAGGAGCCACAAACCAATATAAAATTATTTGTCAATTGAAAAAAGTAATTTGATTTCACTAATGTGATATTTATAATTTATTACTACCTTATTATTATTTTTTATTTTTTTGAAAATAGGTGATTGAGACTGTTCATTTGACAGGCCTTCGTGTTGTAGCAACTATTAGTGACCAGGGAACTGCAAATGTTGGTGCAATAAATATTTTGAACAATGAAACTCGACTTTATCATGTAAAAAACAACTCAGAATATCTTGATGAATTTTATGAAGTTGAATTACATGATAAACAAAGGCTGAAATTGGTTCATATATATGATGTCCCGCACTTAATGAAATGTATAAGAAATAATTTACTAACCAAAAATTTATCTTATACAATTGATAACAAAACAAAATATGCAAAATGGTCACATCTCGAAGATCTATACAAGATGGATAGTGCTGTTCCAGATTGCAAGATGTTACCGCGACTTACCGATCAGCATATAGTTCGAGACAAAATTGCAAAAATGAAAGTGAAATATGTTACACAAGTTTTTTTCGCAACGAGTTTCTTCTACTATGAATTTTCTTGCATGTAAGATTTTAAAATACAATGAAATGTACTGACTAATAACTAAAATGTTTTCAGCTCTTAATATCATTGGTACAGATGCTGCCGACACTGCTTTTATATGCCTTTTTTTTGATAAACTTTTCGACTCACTCAATGGAAGTTTTGACAAAGTAACTGATGGAAAAATATACCGTACTGCTGTCAAAAAAAATTCTATCCATCATACTGTTTGGGCCGAAAGTTTAAAAGTGCTCAGTACAATGAGCTTTGTACTTGAGAATGGTAGAAAAAAGTCAGTTCCAACGATCCAAAACTGGATGACAACTATACGATGTATGACATTTTATCAATACTTCTTTTTTATAATTTTTATAATACTGAACATTAAAAATTGTTTGTTTTAGCTTTTCAAACACTGTCCAAGGTGTTGGATCTGAATGGTATACGTTCCTTTCTTCCTCGGCATCTCAATCAGGACCCGTTAGAATGCTTCTTTGGTGCAATCAGAAGTATTGGTTCAAAAAATCCGAATTGTCATGCATTTGATTCTGCATACAAAACTTTAGTTTTGAATAATTTGGTGTCCACCCACTCACCAGGATCGAGCTGTGAAGAAGACTTCACAGAAGGAAGCTTGTCATCATTCAAAAATTTTTTTGAGAGTGCCATTGCTTCAACGTCTGACTTTGAGAACCAAATTGTCATTAGTGCTGATTTGCCTCCAACACTACATAATTTATCAATGACTACTTCTTTTGTTCGAGGACAAGCTCAAAATTACATTGCCGGATTTATAGTAAAAAAATTAAACAAAACTTTTTTTAAAAATTGTCAAACATGCCTCACTCAGCTTTGTACAGAAAAGGTATCCGAACATCATTCATTAATAACTGCTCGAGAATATCAATCAAATCATCCAACTTTAAAATACCCAACATCTACATTATGTTCTATAGTTCAACAAATCATAAGTTTTGTCGGAGAAAAAATGTCAAATGTCTGTCTTCATCCTAATATACATTCAACTCTGACTAATGCCTTAAATCAACAATTAATTTTCCCTTTTGAATTAAATTGTTCGGAACACAAAGATCTTTTCCGGCTGAACATAATTCAATTTACAGTTAAAATGATGATACAACATTATTGTACTGAAGTTAACAGAATCCTTCTAGGAAAAAGAAAATTGCAAGACAATGAGACTGATCCTGTTAAAAAATTGGCCTACACATGGTATTTAAAGCACTCAAAGACCAGAAAAACTCAGGGAAAGTTTAACTTAATTTAAAGTATATCATTTTATTTTATTTTAGTGTTAAGAGGACGCCACACCCGCATGTGTTGTCTCCGTCTTACAATTGTACAACATAGCAAAAACTCTTTTGCGAGGGACAACTTTTCTCGCACCATATTTGTTGTAGAACTACCAAATTTTCACAGCACTTAAAGAAGAACTTTATCTGTGCAACAGCGTGCTCTTTTTTTCAATAGCACCATCCAATCATTTTTTATAAGCAAATTAAAAAACCAAATGTTTAGAAGCAAATAACTTGTATTGTATATATGTTATTGAAAAAAAGAGCACGCTATTGCACAGATAAAGTTCTTCTTTAAGTGCTGTGCAAATTTGGTAGTTCTACAACGAATATGGTGCGAGAAAAGTTGTCCCTAGCAAAAGAGTTTTTGATATGTTGTACATTTGTAAGACAGAGACAACACATGCGGGTGTGGCGTCCTCTTAAGGTGACCCTCATGTGTTGTCCGTTACAGCTATGTTAACTGTTTGTAAGAATTGTTGTCA